CAAGCCCAAGGAACCTCCCTAAGCCTCCAGTCTCCTCCTGGAAATTGGTATTATAAGCACGCCTATTCTCGCACTGACTCCAGGGTCAGAGGAAGGGCCAGGAAGCCTAGGGCCTGGCCACAGTTGTGCCCCGAGCGTGCCTGGTGCCATCAGCGCCGGGAAGTGCAACAGCTCAGCCTCACAGCCGGGTTCCCTTCTGTGAGGCTGAGGGTCCATGATACTATTTCTTCCTATCACTCAGTGACGTTTTCCAGAAAGCAAGAATGCCTGGAGCAGGCGAGTGGCTCCCTGGTTAAGACGTCGTCCGCCTTGCCTCCCTGGGAGATAAGCGAACGTCTACCCTCGAAGGGATCTGAGGCCAGGGCGTCGGGAGGAGCAGAGGCTGATGCTGGCCCTGAGAGCATCAGATCTCACCTACTTCTCCTTCTAATGCTGTGAAGCAGCTCCTGAGACTGCCCAGCTCACAGATGGCTGGAGAGAAATCACACACCAGACATTAAGTGGGGGAACAAGGACTTGAACCCAGGCCTGCCTGACTCCAAAGCCCAGCTCTTCTCAAACTCTCTATGCTGCTTGCCAACTAACAGACATCAGTTGGGGTTCTGTGAGCCACAAACTGACTCGAATCTTCTCTGCAGGTTATTCCAGAGCTAGCCCTGCTGGGGGTCACTGTGCCCTGCTGGGGAATGCCCCCTTCAGAGGGGCCACCCGGCCTGCCCTTCCCTCCTCTTCCCCAGCACCCAAGATCTGCAGAAACAGGCGAGGCTGGGCTGTGCCCTCGGGGGAGAGATTGCAGTCTCAGGGCTGCCAGCCAGGAGCCCCACGGGGCAGCAAAGAGCCTTTTAGTGGCAGAGCAAGCAGCTGCCAGGTTTCCCATTTAGCACCTGAGACACCACGAGAAAGGAAAAGACAGCAGTAACAAAATACACCGCTGAGTACCCTGGGACTCTAAGCCACAGACGATAAACCCTCAACCCGAGTGAATGTCTGCAGGGGATCCCACAGAGGGCTGCAAGGCTGGGAGAGCTGCACGCCTGGGACTCGGGGGCCTGCTCTGGTAGAAGAGGAAGAGAAAGGAGACATGGCTGGGAGAAGCAAACCCGGAGATAAGGATACGGACAGTTCCAGACCCAGCACCTGCACAGATGCAGACACGTGCTCTCATGATCCTGGGAGGGAGGCAGGGCACAGGGGAAGGCACACAGCTAGGGAACCAGCCAGGAGTGGAGGTTGGGACCATGGACCCCAGGACCGGGGTTCGGTTGGCACTCTGAGAAGCTGCCCAGGACAACAAGGCTCCAGGTCAGGCTGGCCCCCCAGTCTCTCCCAGCTCAGTGGGGCAAAGTCGCAGGGTGCCGCTGCTCTGGGAGAGTTACTCCTGGCCTGAGGAAAGCCTGGCAGAGCAGACTCCACGTGGTAATGTGATCTTGGGTGCAGGCTCTTTGACTTCGGCCAACATTGCTCCAGCGTCAGCAGCTTGGCAGAGCTCCACTATGGCCCCTCAGCCACTACTCAGCAGCCGGGAGCAGAGGTACAAAAAAGGAGGGACAGGGGTTTACTTTGGAGGACATCTGAGAGACCAAACTCTATAATCTTCCAGAAGGGCAGAGCCCTAAGCCAGCACCACTGGGCGGGTGCAAACCCTACCTGAGCCTGGCACTACAGGGTCCCACTCCAGCCCTCTCCACAGGGCGAGGAGTCCCAGAAGCCCACCCCAAGCCACTCCCCTCCACTCCGTACCAGAAGCTATGTACCTAAATCTACCCCCCACAGCTGTGAGAGCCTCTTCTCAGGAGCCTGACTGGGCTGTCAGTGTGGGTAGCCACGGGGCAGCTGTCTATGGGGGTGTGGGCAGAGTTGGGTGCCACACCCACATGCATGAGTCCCTCCCATTATGAACAGGAGAGGGTGACTTCAGCTGTTCTCCAGCCCCAGGGACCATAAACTCAGGGAAAGCCTGGATAGTCTTTGTAAAATTTGAATCAGAAGGGGGACCAGCAGTTAGTGTAATGGCTATGTCGCTGGACTCCCATGTAGTCGACCACAGTTCGTGTCCCGGACCTGGTGGCTTAAAACTCATGCCGGGCGCGTGTGCGTGTGTGCCCAAGATCCCGAGAGGAGAATGCTCTGGGGGGGTGATTTCTCCCTATCTCTCTGTCTCTCTCTGTTTGTCTGGCGAGCGCACGAGCCCTATAGTAAAAACTCCTCAAAAAAAAAAAAGAAATTTCAATCAGAAGGTCAGCAGGTGGCATGGTAGTTAAGGCTCTAGACTCCCACATGGCTAACGGCAGTTTGAGTCCAGGACCCAGTGGCTTAAAAATGACGCCAGGCCCTTGCACATGTGTGCCTAAAGTCTTGGGAGGAAAATGGAAGAGAAGGGATTTTGGCATGGTCATCCCCCCTGGGGAGAGATTTCTCACATTCTCTCTCTGTCTGTCTGCAGGAAGTGCATGCACTCTATGATACGGCAAAAAACCTTTAAAAAAATTTCCTTGATCCTATCAAGCTTTTCAATCTATTTTTTTTTTTTCGAGAGAGAGTTTTCTATAGGAGCATGCACTGACTGCAGAGACAGAGCAACAGAAAGCAAGAAATCAAACACCCCGCCCCCCCGATGGCCACGCCGCAATCCCTTCTCTATTCTCCTCTCAGGATCTTAGACATGCATGCACATGCACCCAGTGTGAATTTTAGGTCACCAGATCCATAACTCAAACCATGATCAAGTATGTGGTGGTCCAGTGACGTAACCCATTATGCCATCTGCTGGTCTCTTAATCTAATTCTAGGTTACAGAAAATAAAGACAAAGGAACAAACTAAACGTTACCACAAGAAACAACCAGACAGATGGGAGATAGGACGTTCTGCAGAGCTGGTCTGGACCCTTCAACAATCAGTGTTAGGAAAGAGGGTCTGTGAAGGATTAAAACAGATATAAGGTAGAGCTAGCAGGTGATGTAGTGGGTAAGGCACCAGACTTCCACAGGGTTGACTGTGGTTCGAGTCCCACATCTAGTGGCTTGAAACTCACAGATGCATGTGCATGCATGCCCAAAATCCTGAGGAAAATGGAGGAGAAAGGATTGTAATGTGGCCATCCCTCCTGGTAGGTGATTTCTCGCTTTCTGTCTCTGTCTTTCTAGTGAACACACGCATACTACAGCAGAAACCTCTCTTTAAAAAAAAAAGAAGAAAATGGGGCCAGCAGATGGCATAGCAGTTACATCACTGGACTTCCACATGGCTGATGACAATCGAGTCCCAGACCTGGTGGTGTTAAATCACGCCAGGTGTGTGTGCATGCATGCCCAAGCTACCAGGAGGATGGAGGAGAAAGGATTATGGCATGGCCATTCCCCCGGGGGGTGATTTCTCACTTTCCCAATCAGTGTCTGTCTCTCTAGAGAGCACACACGTCCTATGGCAAAAACCTCTTTAAAAAAAAAAAGCAGCAACAATTAAGAAAAAAAAAGACAGATGTCAGGTAATTTCTGTAGCAACTTCCCTCCAAAGAGAATAATATAGAAAGGAGGAAAGAGTACACTAGTCCAAGTCCAAAAGAACTCAGGAGGTCTTAGGGTCATGACGATGACAGCTCTAAGCTACGGACTCCAAGTCACCTTTCTTTCTCTTGATAGTAAAATATTAGAAATGTTGTGTGTTGGGAACCAGCAGTTAGCGTAATGGCTATGTCGCTGGACTCCCACGTAGTTGACCGCGGTTCGTGTCCTGGACCCAGTGGCTTAAAACTCACGCCGGGCGCGTGTGCGTGCGTGCCCAAGATCCCGAGAAGAGAATGGAGGAGAAGGGATTGCGGCGTGGCCATCCCCCCTGGGAGGTGATTTCTCGCTTTCTGTCTCTCTGTCTCTCTCTGTCTGTCTGGCGAGCGCACACGCCCTATAGCGAAAACCTCTCCAAAAAAAAAAAAAAATGTTGTGTATTAAATTTTTTTTTTTTTGCCAGAGGCTCATGTGCTCACCAGAAAGTGAGAAAGTAAGAAAGCATTACCCTTGTGGGACGGCCATGCAGCAATCCCTTCTTCATCTCTCTCCTTTGAGAATTTGGGGCACCCATGCACACACTCCTGGTATGGTCTTGAAGCCTCTGGGTCCGGGACTACAATTGTTGCAATCTACCATGTAGGATTCAGCTGCCTAACCAACATGCAACCAGCTGGCCCAGAGATGTTTAAAAAAGGGGAATCCCTGGGAAGTAGACGGTGTAGTGGTTAAGGTGCTGGATTCCCACATGGCCAACCACAGTTCAAGTCCCAGACCTGGCCTTGTTATTCTCCCTCTCTCTTTCTGGTCAAATTGAAGAATAACAATAAATAAAATTAAATTAAAAACTTAATTTTTAAAGAATTAGTTATTTAATTTTATTAATCCATTCATTTATTTTAATTTGACCAGAGAGAGAGAGAGATAGGGAAAGTGAGAGAGCAAGCCACCAGTCCAGGACTCGAATCGTGGTCAGCCATATGGGAGTGTCCAGTTTAACCACAACGCCACCTGCTGGTCCCAATAAGTTTTTTTTTTGTAAAGGCAGCAGTCTCCCGGCAAGCAGGTGGCATGGTGGTTAAGGGCACTGCACTCCCACATGGCTGACTACGGTATGAGTCCCGGACCTGGTGACTTGCTTTCTCACTTTCCCTCTCTCTCTCACTCTGTCCTTCTCTGGTCGAATTAAAATAAATAAATAAAGTTAAATAAAGCAACTCTTTAACAATAATTTTTAAAAAGGCAGTCTCCAAAGTTTTCCCCCTAAAATAGCTTCAACCCATTCCTTCGTTAATGATCTCATCTCTGAGCAGGAGACGGCAGACATGCAGAGTGAGGTCTGGGCCTGAGATCCATATTTACCTCAAATGAGCAGTGACCTGGACAATGTGTGCACGGAGGAGGTGACATAGACATCGCTACAGTCTGCCCTGGCAGTGAGGAACTGCCTCACTCCTCTCACCCCAGCCCAGAGCCCGATAGGGCTGCCCACCCTTACCAATGGCAAACTCCACCAGGGTCTCATTCTCCTCCGACAGCGAATCGAGGAATAAGTCCACAACCTGCAGTTGCCGCAGATACTGGTAGTTGCTAGGGTCATAGGCGAAGTTGGCGAGGTTGGCGAGCACTTGCTCTTTGGCGTCTGCAACGAGAAAGCGGTGCTGGAGCCAGGTGCGGGCGGCGGTCGCGGGGTACCCCTGCCGGCGCTGTGGCCCCGACCGTAGCTCTCACCTTGGCTCTCTGTCTCCTGGAATTCCGTGACCAGCGCTTGCAGGTACCCCAGCCGCCCCACGTGTGGGTCTACCTTCGGCTTCTGGGCCATGGTCTGGGCGGCAGAAGCCGGGGAACCGGCAGGAGAGCGCGAGCCGCGAGGGGGGAAAGTGGGGCAAGACCCTCACCCACCCTCCACCGGACTGGCCCGGGCGGACGAGGGCGACAACTGGGTTCCCCTCCTGGGTTCAGACTGCAGTGATCTGCAGCAGGAAATGGGCTGTGGGAATGGAGTGGCCTCAGGATCCTGTAAAGGCTGGTTTTGAAAGAAGAAACTGGGGAAGAGACGAGCCCGTAACTTGGAGATCCAGGACTCGAGAGCAGCGCCCCGCCCTCTGCTGCCGGGCTTACTTCCGGGATTCGGCCGGAAGCC